AAGCGGGACCCAGCAAGGAGCTAGAGCCACTCGCTCCCCACAGCCGCCATGATCTGGCTCCTCCCCTGTACTGAGGAGCAAATGTGACTTGATCCAGCCTGGGCAAGATATTTATGATGAGCAAACATCTTTTGCAAGGTGAGGCCAGTCCCCATCAAGGACAGCCTCTGTCAGTACATGAACTGGGAAGGTCCTAGCTGGCATAGGGAGTCTTAGAGAACCCATACTGGATACCTTGGGGTCGGCAGACTCTAGTCTGCTTCAATGCTAGCTAAAAGTATCCAGCTTCAGTAAGTTTAGCAATAGTCTCTTTATGTTTAGGAGAAATGTCTGTAGCACACATTTTGACCTGATGTCTCAGGAGTTGATGAATCCTCCTCAACTGAGACCTCCTTCTCCTGCACTACATGTTGCTCAAGGCCAAAGTCAAAGATCAGTCCCAGGGGGGAGGCAGAAGAGACACAGCTGTGTCCCCTGCTGTTTAAGGCCTTAACAAGGCCATAGTAGGGACAGCCATCAGAGGAAAGGGTACTAGGTGCAGAATCGATGCACCACAACTCATAGCAAAGCTAAGGCTGAACCTGAGCTGTTGATCCCATTTAACCTCTAATTTTTATGATTATTGTCCACCAGGTCTGTGAATAAATTGTCCCCAAAGGAGCATTCACAACTCCTTAACAGCACAACAGGAGGGGGGATGCCCTAGTCTAAACACCTGTAGGTTGCTACAACCCAGGAACAGGGAGTGTAAACAGCTATTACAAGAGGATAGCCAGGAGATTTTGCTTGACTGGTAAAATATCTAAAGAACACGCACAGCACGCAAGTGCAGAAGTATATTCTGAACAAGGAGGTGCAAGCACAGTACACACTTTCTTCTGACCAGGCACAGTATTGTGCCACAAGCAAGGAGAACACAGCACAACTGTCAGGGTTCTGTCCACAGACGTTCTAGGACACCTGGCACTCCTGCCAGTACCCTGCATGGCCGTAGAAGTGCACATTTGGGAAGATCCATGCGCACTGGCGCCCGGACACAAGCCGGAACACGCATGCGCACTGGCGCATAGTTGCGCATGCATTAGCTCAGTTTGGCGCCAGACGGCCTTTATAAGGAGGCTCATGACTCCCTCAAGTTGCTGGTTGATCCCTGGCTCCCCAGTACCATTGTCTGTGTTCCTTTGCTATAGTGATTTCCTGTTACCGACCCGGCTTTCTCTTGGACCTGTCTACTCTGCCTGACTCCTGACCTGACCCTGGCTTGGTTAACGGATACTCTCTCCCGCTCCTGTGTGTATGACCCTGGCTATTCTACTGACTACGTCTGCTCCAATCTCCATGTGACACTTGACCTTGGCTTTGAACCAACTATCCTGTGGTCCTCTGTTTCCCTGAAGGCTTGCTTACCTCTCACAGGCGCCATCTGTCAGCAGACTCTAATCCAGTGCATCAGCTTTGCTCCTGGGTGTACCACTAACCAGCACTCCTACAGGCAACCTGTGCTACTTTGGGCCCGACTCCTGCTGTCCCATATCCAGGGGAGTCTGGAACTTAGCCGCAAGGGAAGCCTTCTCTCCATTGGCCTCCATCACCAGGTACGTGATAACAACAGTGCCACCACAGGTGCCTTCTGAAAGGACATCCAAAAGGCACCAGAGTGCCATTAGCCTTAACCTTCCTGAACTACAAATCTGCAGCACTGGAAGCATAGAAGGTAATATATCTTCACTCTCAAGCAGGAAAAAGTAGCAGACATGCTGGGATTGATGTTGCTGACACTATTTAATTAGCACCAGCTGAAACAGAAGGAGAGGCAAGTGAGCTCAGGCAATGTGATTATGTGCAGAGATACTGTCACTTTAGCCTGCATTGCCAGGTGATGAGGTCTCTTTAACCACTTGCCCTCCAGAGGATTTACCCCCGTTGCTGACCAGGCCATTTTTTGCAATACGGCGCAGCGGTACTTTAACTGACACTTGTGTGGTCATGCAACGCTGTACGTAAATTAAATTTATGTCTTTTTTTTCCCCACAAAGAGCATTCTTTTGGTGGTATTTGATCACCTCTGCAGTTTTTATTTTTTGCGCTATAAAAAAAGACCGACAAAAAAACCCAACATTTTTGACTTTTTTTTTTTGCTATAAAACATATCCAATAAAATTTTTAAAAAAATCAAATTTCTTCATAAATGTAGGCCAAAATGCATTCTGCGACATGTCTTTGCTAACAAAAACAAAATCCCAATACGTGTAAATTAATTGGTTTATGTGAAAGTTATAGCACCACAAATGGTGGTATGTATTCTGGGATTATATATATATATATATATTTATTAATAGTAATCACAGCGATCAGCGACTTACAGCAGGACTGCGGCAGGCATTCTGACTGTAGGTGGGAACTGCCACTGACATCTCCAGTGACACTAATACAGTAATCAGTGGTAATAAAAATCACTGACTCTGTACTACTGCTACTGGGCAGGAAGGGGTTATCATCTGAGGCGATCAAACTGTTAACAGTGTGTTGTGTTTTTTTTTTTTTTTTTTTTTTTTTACTGTGTGCACTTTGTGTTTTACTAAGGAGACATGCGGTTTTGTATCTCTCTGTTGTGCAGAGAGATACAAAGCAGCATGTCCATGCTGGCAGGAGAGAGACCTGTGTTGTTTACACAAAGGTCTCTCCCGTCAGCTTTGCCCGATGATCGGGGAGTGCTGGCTGGGACCTGGTGATTGACATCTTTCAACCACCATTAGCGGCACGGACAGGGCTGGGTGCGCGCCCCCTACCCAGAACTGCGAATTACATATATATACACGTGATTTTGAGCAACCCTGTCGCCCTGTAGCAGTACTGCTGCTATAGGGCGGAAGGCAAGCGGTTAACCAGCATGAGGAAAAGGACAAAGGCATAGAGAAAAATATCCTCTGCAAAGTTTAGGAGTTGGACCATAGAGGACAAACAAATTCATCTTTTAATATCTGGAATAAATCAAGGTCACTATGAGCAAGTTGCTCACATGAGCCAGCCTTCTACTCTCCTGGATTTTATAACTAGATCATTGTTTAGAAATGTGTCAGGTTCAAGAGGGCTACTAATATACAGTTTTCCTGTTGCAATGTACTGCAAGTATGAATGTTCATTCCCAATATTTTCAACAGTTTTTTTATTTTAAAACACAAATATACTCTCCCATTTTAAAGGTTAAAAGTCGTGGAGTGGCAAACAATTACTTTTTAAAAATTGTGTTTTTTTCCTTAATTAGTGCTTCACTGCCACACCAAAACTCCCCACCCCTATTAAAATGCTGAAGATAAGGACCTCAATACTCTGTGAGAGCAGCAATCGATCTTCAGTGGTCCAGTACTCCCTATCCACAGTCCCAACTATTGTACTCCAATCAGCACAGGGCATGAGCAAGTACTACAAAAATAGTTTATTTTTTTTTCTTCTAAGGTTTAACCTCTTAAATATGCAGCAAGTACAGAAAAAAAAAGGACTGTTGATCTTCCAGAAATTCAGTAAGCTCCTAACTTCCTGTGCTAACACAGTTCCTCCGCTGCACTGGAATACCAAACAGTATTCTCAGGCCCTCCCAATTGTGTGTGAGACCCCATATAAAATCCATGCCAGACCCTTAAAAAACATTTAAAGAAAAATCACAAAAAACAGTCCGCAGTTCCTAGGGACATGACATGTGCAAACTACAACTGTTTCCTCAGCGACAGCAGGAAGCTGTCATATATAGAAGTGGTAGAAATACCACATCTACATATGATGCTCGGCTCCTGCTGAACAGGGGGAGAGACAGGTAAAGTTTCAGGTGTTTGTCTGATTGCCAGAGCAGCTAAAGTCCGGCCCAAACCTAGGTTTGGACCAAACGGTCAGCTCATCCCCACTTAATCACTTCCCGTCCAGCCCATGTACATAAACGGCCAGACAGGAGCAGTGCAGGAGTGGGTGGCCGTTCATAAACGGCGCCCGCATTTACTGCCTGTGTGCGCTCACTGTACGGATATGCAGAGCCATACAAAACAGTGTGCAGGAGCTGACAGGGTAGAGATCGGTATTGTTTACATGCAGGTCTCTCCCCTGTCAGAAATCCTTGGAGATCGCCGGGTGCCAGTTTACAGTAGCAGTCGAGAGGTAAAACACCACAATTGAGCTGCGTTTTTAACCCCCCAAATGCTCCCCTCCTTTAGCTGCAGAAGCAGTGGCTGGGAGAAAGGGAGTTTATATGCTGCAGCAGGAATTCTGCCCTGTCACTTTTGGTGAGCAATGCTACCATGAAGCGCAACCAAAATTAAAGTTGCGTCATGCTAGTGTGGGGTTTAAGGGGTTAAAAGCAGGCAATGAGGAGATGATGCCTCCTTACTGCCTGTCAAATGCTCTCTGTGGATCGCTCTTCAAAGACCAAAGCACATGTGAACAAGCCCTTACAGATGATGAATTCTAAAAACTTTGCTGAAGTTTAAGTCGTGTCTCTAACAATCTAAATCCTGAAAACTATAATAAACTAGAACATATAAATCTATTTTACATTTGTTCATATGTACTGTTTGCACAATTAACCTATTTTTATTGCTGAACTATTTTCAATGGTACAGTGAGAGCTACAATGTATATTGCCATGGACTATGCACAGTGATAGAGGTACATGGTACAAAAAACGTTCATTAAAAATTGTGACAGAATGCAACACCAATCCAGTTTAAGCAAAAAGTCAGTAACAAGAAAAACATAAAAAGTCTTTAAAAAAAATGCATATATCTGTGGGCGAGCACACTGTGCATATAAAACCCATTTTATCAGAGTACTAGCTGCAGATGATCAGAGCAAACATACATGTTCTGCTCCACTAGCTCTTTATCATATCTCAATCCTAGACATCCTCAGGCACTTGACAAATGAGGTAATGAAAGCTTCTACCATTCTTTTTTTACAGCTCATCAGAATGGCAAACGGGTAACTAGGCCAACTTGATGTGCATAGGAAAGTTATTAGAAGGAAGCCATTTTGGCAAGTTCTTGGTTCATCTCCGCATATTGTTCCCTCAGACGCTGGACTGCTTTACGCTGCTCTTCATCAACTGCCAGCCGTCTTTGTTCCTGCTCCTTCAGAAATGCTTCCCACCTTGCACAAAGTTTCTCTTTCCCAGCTTTCTCTGCAGCACTCTGCAAATCAAAGAGATAACATGGCATCAAAAACGTGCTAATATTTACAGGTGAAGCTAAAGAACTACTGTGTAGTCTGGCTGTGCTGCTTGGCAGGGTTGCCTGGAGTAAAAGACTGGTTGAACATCATTTATAAACTCTTTGACAGGTAAAAATTGTAATGTACAGTACATACGTAGGCAATGTAAAAAGAGGTTTAGCTGAAGGGCCACCTAAAACATCTAACATAAGCAATCCAACAATCTTAACCACTTCCCGACCGGCCGTTGCATATAAAAACGACAGGACGGTGGCAGTGCAGGGTCGGGTGGCCGTTTATAAAACGGCCTCCCCGCACCCTGCTTGTGCACGCTCCCTGGGAGCGCGCAGCACCGCGATCCGGGGCCCGCGGTGTCCTCCGGACACAGTGAAACACCGATCGTCGGACGGGACCTCTGTACGAGGTCCCGATCACGTGATCACTGATTGGCCAATCAGTGATCACATGCAAAGTAGTAAGCAAGATGTAACATCATTGCTTACTACGTGTGAAATCTGTGAATGATCACAGAGGTCACATGGTACAAGGCTATTCACAACAGCCTTGTACCATGTGACAAGCTGTGACCAATCACAGCTCACTCAGTACTTCTCAATGAGTGCAAGAATGCAGACAGAGAGAAAGAGAAATGATTGCTTTTACATCCTATATGGGTGTAAAAGCAATCAGTGAAAAAAAAAAATCTTCATCACCCCCCACAAGTAGTACAGTGTCACCATGGTGACACTGTACTGCTAGGGTGACAGTATGTAAAAAAAAATAAATATAAAATATAAAAAAAAAAATAAAAATGTAAAAAAAAAAAGTTTAAAAATTATAATTTTTGGTTATAAACTAATTTGGATTTTTTTTTTTACTAAAAAGATAACGGAATAAATTTTGGCAAAGATTTATGATGAAATATTATTTATTTGCAAAATTTTATAAAAAAAAACATTTTCAAAATTTTTGGACTTTTTTATTTACATAGCAAACAAAATAAAAATCCCAGCGGTGAATAAATATCACCAAAATAAAGCTTTATCTGTGTCAAAAAAAATGGTAACATTCATTTGGGTACAGTGCTGCATGACCGCGCAATTGTCATTCAAAGTGTGATAGCGTTGAAAGCTGAAAATTGCCCTGGTCAGGAAGGGGGTAAAAGTGTCTGGACTGGAAGTGGTTAATTATACTCTGCCAACTATTGTAGTTGTTGAAATGAATATACTGTGCATTGCCTAGCAGTGTCATTCATTTTGAATGCCACCCAACACATCTGTACTGCAGTGCACCACAAAACAGAGTGCTCTTTGTTGGCAAAAATCATGCATTTGTATGTCCTTTGCGGTGCATTTACCATCTATTTTTAAATGAATGGACTGCCCTAAGGCACTCAGGAAGGTTTTTTTTTTTTTTTTTCATTCAACCCAGCAAAAAAAAAACAAAACATACAGATTGCTGTGCTAACACATCTAGTGTTAGTGCGGCTATCTCCCCATTGAACTACTGTGTTCTGACAGGGGGACACACCGAAAAGGGCTGCCAGCGCTGATTGGATTCTGAAAGGCTGCTGGTTTTCCAGCATGCCCATTCGACTATATTTTACATATAGTAAAAAGTACAAACCATACTGTAATTGGATGATACTGGCCAATTAGTAATTATCTCACAGATAACACTTTTCACAGAATGTATTTTTCCTCCAGCTGTAAATCTCTTTTCACCATGAGCAATTATCAGTTCCTTTTTATCTATAAGAGCTATACTCAATGCTGATAGCAGACCCAGCTCTTAACACAGTCTAGCTGTGACACTTGTTTCAGTTTTATTACACTATGTTTTGTGACATTTTGACGAGGGGGTTTTATTTCCAGTGATTCTTTGCATCACTTAAAATGTCAATAAAAACAATTGAGAAAAGGTGTATGCATCCCAAAGGAACATACTATCAGCACATACAGTCACGACCAAACATTTCTGTCAGATAATGCACCACTTCACCCAGAAAATTGTTGCAATTACAAATATTTAGGCAATCTCATGTTCATTTTTTTTTGTTTGCATTGGCATGACACAAAAAAAGTGGAGAAACAAAAAGCCAAATTTCCACGCATTCCACGCAAACCCCCCAATATGGACTTGGACAAAATTAATTATTGGCACCCTCAATTTAATATTTGGTAGCACACCCCTTGGAAAAAAATAACTGAAATCAATCACTTTCTGTAACCATCAATGTTTCTTACACCTCTCTACTGGAATTTTGGACCACTCTTCTTTTGCCAACTGCTCCAGGTCTCTCAGATTGGAAGGGTTCCTTTTCTCAACTGCTGCTTTAAGATCTCTCCACAGGTGCTCTATGGGATTTAGATCTGGACTTATTGCTGGCCAGTTCAGTATTCTCCAGCGCTTTGTCTTAAACCTTGTCTGGGTGCTTTTTTGACGTGCGATTTGCTGCTGTAAGACCCATGACCTCTGATGGAGACCCAACTTTATGACATTGGGCCCTACATTGCACCCCAGAATTCTTTGGTAGTCTTCAGATTTTAGAATGCCATGCCCACGGTCAAGACATCCAGTGCCTGAAGCAGCAAAGCACCCCCAAAACATCAGTTAACCTCCACCAAAAAAAAAAACAAAATTTACAAAATCATTTAAAAAATTTTTAAAAAATAAATTGTACAAAATAATTTTTAAATAATTAAATTAGATAATTAAAAATAATTTAAAAAACATTTTAATTTTTGTAATTTGGGGGTCTGTAAGGTAGGTTGTATGGGACCCTGTGACACGGTACGGCAGCCCTGGGTGACACTATCAAGTAGGATGTGATATCTGATTGCGACAGTGTCACCCCCATCTGTGACAGTGCACAGATTGGCAAGCCGGTAACAACGGCATCATTTCCAGGGGCTGGTTTGGGAATGTGGGGGTGGGTGGGGGATGTGGACATCATGTATTATCACACCAGGTGACACAAACCCTAGTGATGCCACTGGTTATAGATGTGTTCTGTCAGGTGATTTGACAGTGACAAAGCTTTAGAGGAAACGCTCTCTGTGCGCTCCCCCTATAACCCTACCACACATAGTTGTTTTCTAGCAGTCAAAGAGTAATCCAAGGAAAGTAAAGGCAGGTGTCCTGTACGGCAAGATATGGTATTTACAGGTAAGAATTCCTCTTATCTTAATCATACAGTATAGGACACAGGCAGAATATTCATACAGCATAGGACGCCCCTTTAGCTCTTTAGAGGAGCTAGGGGCTCCCGAAGAGGGCGGTTTTAGGACCTTCTGCTTTGGAAGTAAAACCTTCCCACCCGTGACCTTTTTAATGAATCGGCCAAGTGGCTCACCAAACAGATGTCTTCACTGGAAAGGTATAAGTATGAGGCGCCTTTTGCAGGCACCTTCAGCTGTCCAAGCTTTTAGCTATAAGATTTTGTGAATGTGAATGGAGATTAGATCCATTCTGTAAATATGTCTTATGACACGTTTTATGGCATCTACACAAATAAGCAGAGCAATTGCTGTGCACGAGTCTAAAATACAGGGTTATGTTGGTTATTCATTGTCCCAGTCCTGTTAGTTGCAGCTTGGCATACTGAAATTGCAGCAAGAGCTGGTTGCAAGGCTGGACCTGCAAGACTGAAGAGAGCTTTTAGGTGCATCTCAAACTTTCTAATTGCAGAATCTTTGAAAGAAAAAACATCTTCAAATAGGAACAGTGAGATGTTTGTTTAGGACACAAAGAACAGGATTGGCTACAGGAATAGCCCACTTCTTTGTGAATTCTTTCCACTAGAAAAAGTTCAGTAAAGATTTGAAAATTTTCAGAACTGCCCCCATTGTCACAGACACCATATTTTATCTGTTCATGAAGAGGAAATATTTTCCAGGGTTTTGCAGGTCTCTTTGTACCCAAAGGGGCATAGCGGGATAGAGGAGAAATCATCTTGCACAATTCAATATGTACTAAGCCACTAACCCAGAACAAGTATGCAGATCAGGAAAATCAGCGTTAAGTCAGAATGCCATATTTGTTAAATTATCACTTGAATAGAACTTGGAGAGTCAGTGACTCAAATAATCGGCATGGCTGTCAAGCAACTAACATTTGAAGTCAGCAATAGTGGCCTCCAAGAAGTTTCCCTCAGGAAAGGTGTCCTTTAAAAAGAATGTTCAGCGCTATTTGTATTAGGAAAATTCATGTATGAAAAAAATTTAATCCAATGAAAATTAATAAATTCATTGAGCTGCAGGGCATCTAAAAAGCGGTTGTAAACTTTTTTTTTTTTAATTCAAATAAAAATTTTTTTTATATTTACCTGCTCTGTGCAATGTACTGTGCAGTGCACAGAGCGACCCTGAACCTCCTCTTTGGGGGCCCCACTGGCAATCTCCGTTCCTTCCCTTCTCTGTGTGCCCCCACAGCAAGCTGCTTGCTTTGGAGGCACCTGTGCAGGCGCACTCCCCAGCCAGGCTGTGTGTATCAATGGAAATGTGTCAAATTCGGGTATCCGCTCCCCAAAGGTGCCAATCCTTAAAGGGGAGCGGAAGACAAAGGCTTAAAGCGGAACTTCCCCTTTTGGGTGGAGCTTTAGCTCTTTTGGGTATTAATGTGCAACTCAGACTGTGCTGGACAGGACAGGTGATGATGTCACTGGAGAGTCTGAGTAAGGCTTACAGATAGAAAAAGAAGTCACCTTTAATTTCATAACAGCATTCAATAAACAGGCCAACTGAAATTAACTCTAACAAGCAAAGACATTGTTTCCCCATTTTGTTTTACAGCAACTGTATGTATAAAAATGTAAGGTACGACTTGTGCATAAGTGGAAAATAGCCATACCATGTTATTGAACACCATGGACAAGCACAAGTCTCTGTGCTCTCCAACTTAGACATATCTACTGTGTATTTAGCGGTTTACCTGAAGATATGATCTCCTAGGTTCAGTGTGACACCCTGAAATATGTTTG